AACAGCAGCAAATAAATAAAATAAAGACTATAAAAATAATCTAAAGCTGGCGTTTTTCTGATGCAGGCCCAAGTAAAAATGCCATAGGGCCTTCACGTTGCGGTGACGCGACCTGGGGGCCCTATTCCAACCTCGGGTCTCGTGAGGGGCCCGTGTGTAGGCTTTCAGCATGTAACACCCGGTTTGCATCGGTTTCCCTGATGCTGACGTGTATCAAAGGCCAGCGGGACGCGCTGGAGAGCATGCTGCACGGCGATGCGTGGGCACGCATGTCGTGGGACCGTAGGCTTATCGCCCAGGCGCAGTGGGTGCAACAGCAGATCCGCGACGAGGAGTTGTGGCGTTGTGTTGACTATTCCATCCGCGTTATGGCGCCCGTCCACCAGCTACTGAGGAGGATGGATAGGGGGGGGATGATGATGTCCATCGTGTATGAGTGGAGTCAGCATCTGCTCGAGTTGATGAGGAGGGTGGATGTGCCGGCGGACATGGTCGAGCCGTGTGTGCGCGAGGTTGCCATCTGCAACCTCCACATGCTCGAGCCCGCACATGCCGCGGCACACCTCCTCAACCCTCGTCAACGGTCCCTTCGATATTATGAGTCGTTGCAGCCGACCAGTGACAACGACCGTGTGGTCGAGGAGTGCGACAGATTTTTGCTCACGCAGACCGGCGACGATCCGGTGGGCAGACTGTACAGGACCATGCGAGACCAGATGAGGCATTTCCACTTGCGCCGGGGAGATTGGGGAGATCGGCAGCTGTCTGATGCCGAGGCGGACGATTGTCGGGGGGACCGCGAGACCGAGCGTTGTGCGACGTGGTGGTTTGCTCACGGTCGTTTTCACCCTGAGTTGCGTACCATCGCCATCCGTGTCATGCACTTGTGGACGTTTGCCTCTCCTGCGGAGAGGAATTGGGCGCAGCACGAGCGCATCAACACGGCGAGGCACAACAAGCTTGGGTTTGCCAACCGAGCACAGCTGGTTGAGATTGCCACCAATCTCAAACTGGCCGCGTGCACGCAGCAGGGTGGTGGCTACGTGTTGTCGTGGGTTATGGGGACCGGTCGGGAGGGGACGGCGGGAGGGGAGGAGGATGACGAGGGAGACGTGAAGCCCGAGGTGTGGGGAGCGCGACCTGCTGACAGTGTTAGCGAGCAGGACATCAAGCGCCAGGTCATCGCTTTTCATGCCTGCCGACTGTCCAGATCCGACCCGGTTGAGGACGTGTTCGGCAAGAGGGCGACAGAGCTACGGCCGTGGACGGAGTACACTGTAGGGGCTGACGACACTCCGGACGCTGATGCGGACGACGACACGTCCGACGACCAGTGGACGGACGATGATGACGCGGCCATCAGAGGCGACGCGATGGCGGAGCGGGTGTATTTCACTTACGGTGGAGGACCTGACGGCATGGCTCCACACACATCCGTCATCACTGACGATGTGCCGTCGGGTGGACAGGCCAGTGGCACCGGCAGAGGAAGGGGTCGTCGTCGATGACGTCCGCGTGGCGACGAGGACGTCGAGGAGCAGGAGCCACTTCGGGGCCTTCGGCAGACCGGTAGACCGGCAGACGTTGGGAGGTCAGGAGCGACAGCGAGCCAGAGAGGGAGGGCGAGGAGGAGGAGGTGCCCCGTCAGGATCGTCGGTACTCTCCCTCTCATCATTAGACTACGGGACCGCCCGACAAGATGAGGCGTTCGCCGAGGTTGGCGTCGGCAGCAGAGAGACAACGAACGCATAATAGCGAGGACCGTGAGGGGGCGAGGCCTATGGACATGCGGGACGTGGAAAGGACTCCATCCGGCGCCGGTCTCCGCCCCCGCTCGCTGTCAGAGCTCCGTAACGACGACTTTGACGTCGGGGGATCAGGTGGGGGCTTGGGGGATTTGAGTGCCCCGAGACAGGGCGGTGCCTCGCCTTTGGAGCTCCGTACCGACGACTTCGATGTGCGGGACCGTATGGAGACCGCGGAGGAGCAGGATGCCCGACTGGACAGAGAGGAGGAGGAGCGGCTGCATACTTTGCCAGGATGGGAGGGTCGGTTTGCGTATCTGGAGGAGCAGCGTCGACTGAGGGAGTTGGAGACATGGGGGGTGGCGGCGGTGACGCCGACGACGTGGGTGTCCGTGGGAAGGCTGTTCTGGGAGAGGTCCGAGAAGGTGTTGTCAGAGAGGATATCGACATGGGTGGCGGGGGAGAGGGTGTCCCCCCGGGTGACGAGGGACAGGGTGTCGCCGTGGGTGGTGGGGGAGAGGGTCGACCAGGTGGAGATGTCGACGGCGACCATCGCGGCGAGCACAAGGACGGGTCCGACGACCGCGACGGCAGTGACGACCACGGTGGCGACGACGATGAGGGAGATGCTCGCTTTGGTCGTGAGGGACCCTACACTACCTCCCCTGCACCCCGACGACTTCGCGCACGTTGTGCTCGACGCCGACGGTTTGGTGCATGTCGGTTTACAAGACCCTTTCCCCCATACGGGCCGTAGGAGCGATGAGCGGCGCCCCCCTGGAGGGACGTATTCACCCCCGCCTTACCTCGTGCAGAGCCCTCGATGGTCGGGTTCGTCGCTCAGCGACATCAGAGGGAGGGAGTCCGGGGTGGTTGAGGGCGGGTCGGGTCGCCGCAGTGGCGGTGAATCTGCCGAATCGATGCCCCCACCACCCGCACAGGCCGCGGAGGCGAGCGACGAGGAGACAGCGGCCCGTGCGCACATTGGTGGTTCCCCGCCGCCTGTCCGAGGTGGTGTCGCTGGCGGATGGGCAGCTCATCGACGGGTCACGGACCGGTTGAGGGCGGATTACGACGTCGGGAGGGGCGCCTTCGCAGGACGTTTGTCACCACAGAGGCAGGCTGCAGAGGGTGGCTCCGGACGTCCGAGCCTTCACATGGCAGGCCGCATGCTCGGTTTGTCACGATCGGCGACGAGGAGATCATTGGTCCTCCCGGCCGCAAGGACACTTACGGACATGCAGCAGGGACAACACTACACATCGGGCGAGGAGGGGTTGATGATGCGTCGTGGGACGAGACGACACAGCGTCGTCACGGAGGTTGAGGCTCGACTCACAGCAGAGATCGCCGCCGACCAGGCTGCATTGGACGCGATTCAGAGGCAGCGAGAGACGATTGCTGCAGAGGAGGCCGAGGACGAGGACACTTCGACAGTCCTCTGGGAGAGGCCGCGCGCGTCCTCCTGCAGGGCGGGGCACAGGCCGCTTTTTCTTTTTGGTAGGACGCTCTGTTTATAGGGTAGTTTCATAGTTATGTTGATGTTGTTGCTCGATGTGCAGCGCCAGGTCCACTGTGACGGATGGTACAATCACGTTACTTTTTTGTTAGCTACTATGTGTTACGGTTCAGATGACGGGTCCGGTTTTTGGCTTTGAACATGTACATACGCATTTCCAGTGGAGTGTTTTTTCACTGTTTTGTACTTCTCCATTTTCCTCTGCTACCCTCGCTTTTGCATGTGAGTCGCTGTTGTTTGCTGAGTGGTTTCTGGTTTGTTGTCGTAAATGTCCCCGATACAGGTGGTATTGTTCTCGCAATGTTGCAAATCATGTCTTTGTCCAATGCCACATACATGCATGTCATGGTTGCCCCCATTGTGAATGTGTTGTGAATTTCGTATGCCAAACAGGGATGATATGCTAATGAATGTGTTGTTTCGCGAACTTTCACCAGCCCCACGAATGAACATAGACATGCAGGTTATGGTTGCCCACATTGAGAATGTGTCGTGAATTTGGTATGTGAAATAGGGATGATATACTAATGAATGTGTTGATTCAAAAACTTTCACGAACTTTCACCAGCCTCACGAATGAAATTGATGCCTGCCTGACTTGCCTCTGGTCTGCCATCCGCACCCCCGCACAGCCCCCACCCGACCCCCACGCCCCAACCAAGCCCCCATCCAACCCCCTTTAAGCCATCCCCGCAGGGGCCGCAAATTTTTATTTTATTTTTCTTGTGTTGCCGACCCTCCTCCTTGCGCACCTGCGTCGCCGAACCGCAACTCGGGGGACCCATGAATTTTCTCGGCCCACCCTGCCAGACCCATGTTTAGGACCCGCCCATTTTTTATTTTTTTGACGGTCTGCCACTTCGAGGGGGTGCCCCCAACCCCCCCCACCTGAAACCCGCTCCCTGCTCCCAAAACCCCCTCCCCGATCGGCCACAGCCGCGGCCGAAAGTTCTCAGCCGGAGCGGCCGTGGTCGGGGGGTTCCCGGCCACGACCGAACTCGGCCGCGGCCAAGGGGGAACATAGATCACGGGGCATGGGGGAGCAGGCTAGAGGTGTCCGGGCGTTGCTGCTGGTTTTCTGTTTGTTGTTGGCGCTATGCGCTTACGACAGCATATCTCACACCAAGGTCTTGTTGGAGAGGAGAAACGTTGGGGGGGAGTAAAGGGAGGTTGGTATGGAGTTAGGTTTTCTACAGGTAGGCAACGTCAACAACGATGTCACCCCTTCATTTCTTTGGGCTACCTGCAAGGGGCGGCTAGTAGGCTCAGCGGTTTAGTCTCGCGACGTGGTTTGGAATAATCCTGGCCGCGGGCCATACTATCTTCATCGTCGGTTCTTTGGGATGGTTGATTGGTTGTCAACCACAGGCGGCCGTGTTGCTTGAGAGTTGATGAAGGAGGAAGTGAGGTTTGGAGAGAGGGGGGGCACTTTTAGGGATGTCGAGGGTTTGTGTTTTTCCTCTTCATGTTTCGTTGTGGTGATTCTGTGATGACCTTGATGAGATTCTTAATGACGTGATTCTCAGCTAGTTTTGTTTGGTTCAAATAATATCTGTTGGCCCTTCTATCCTTGAAGTTTAGTATAACCAACAATTCTGATTAATTCTGACGCATTTGGGTTGTTTAATTCTGAATTTCTGATTTGATTGTTCTACGATGGTTTGTTCGATTTCGCATTACCTGTTTGATCCTTTTATGTCGTTATCTTTGACGTTCAACCAATGATGACAATTCAATATTTGTGCTACCAGTTTATCTTTTCTATGTTTTAATCCTAGATGTTCATACCTTATAGCATCGTGTTCGGGTTCGGTGACCGAACCCGAACGTTCGGAACCGAACGCGAACGAGCGCCGAAACTCTCCGAACGCGAACATAAAAATATATGTATAAAAAAAAAAAAAAAGGTCTCCAAAAATTTTGTAAAAACTATATGTTATGTAAAATAATAATACAAACAACTTTTGCCTTGGAGGTATGGTCAAACTCAAGTTAAAAATAAAAAACCAAAAAAAAAGTTTTTTTTTTTTTTTTTTTTTGGATATGTTCGGCCGAACACGTTCGGGTGGCGTTCGGCCAAACACCCGAGCATGTTCGGACATTCGGAAAAGCTCCGAACATGTTTGGTGTGCTACACAGGTTCATACGATAATGTTTTCAGATTAACATTTTTCAAATTTACGGTCTGGGCAATTTCCTGAACCCTGGGTTCTGGACACCAGAGTCGAAAGTCCGGTTGGACATTAGAATTGTTTTTCTATTGTATTTCCTTTGGATTTTCAAAGTCGTCAAATCGTATATTCGGTTTGAGCGATTTTCCTTTTCCCAATCCTTTCTGTATCTCGATGGATTTTATGATTTTGATGACTTGTAATAAGTCTTAGCGATTTCTCTACTTCCATCTTATTTGTATTGATGGATTTTCTGATTTCGATGCTATCTAGTTTTTACTTAGTAATTAGTCTCAGCAAGGGGGTCTCAACCCGTGATGTATTGACACTTTTGGACCCTCTAGTTTAGTCTGTTTTGGGGAGTATGGAAATCTTGAGGCTCAACACGAGCTTTGTAGGGCTTGGGCTCACAAGTATTGATCGGGGTTATTTCCTCAGGGTTGGAGCTCCTCCTTGCGAGGGCTACACAAGGTGGGAGGTGTTGTCCTTGAAAGGGTTGGGGCGGTATTGTGGGATTGTCCTTTTTTGAGTCATGCTGATCTTTGGGTCGGATCAGTATGGCGGTTGGAGAGAGTGGACAAGGGGTGCTGAATTCAGCAAGATGGGNAGAGTGGACAAGGGGTGCTGAATTCAGCAAGATGGGAGGTAGAGAGGGTTCTTTCACTGGGAGGGGGTGGGACAGGAGGAAAGGGGGAATTCCAGCTCTGCGGGGGCATACTCTAGGGGGAATTGTGTGCTGCTGAGGGAGCGGGAATGACCATTTACGGGGCTGTTCTGAACTGGGGCCGGTGTGGTGAGGGGGCACCTTCCGGTGGAGGCAGTGTATGGACAGAGGAACGTTTTTGAGGGAGGAGTAATCTCCGGAATTTTATTTGTGAGTTCTTCATGATTGGTTGAGCTTCGAATAGACACTAGAACCGCTATCGGATGAGGGGTTATTTTTCCCTCCCTTCCTCTCGTTTCGTAGAGGTAGAAGGGGTTTTCTCTGCCTTTGTCTGAGTCAAATTTCTCTGAAGGAGGGCAAACGGGGGGTTAGAACCGGAGTATGGAATTTAGTCAGGAGGATCTCAATGGAGGAAGGGCTGTTAGGTAAGTATGTCAGAAGAACAGAACTGGGACGACACAGGCCGGTGCTGGAGCATTCGCTCTGTGACCTGGGGGGAGCTCGAGGCTTGTGGAGTTATGCTGAGGGTGGAAGGCATAATCAGATCGTTCGACAAAGCGTACACCGGGGTGTTAACCCTGTAACCTGTTCAGGGGCTTGCCGTTAAGGGTAGTGTCGAGGGAGGAAGGCACTTCCTATCCGTCAGAACTAGGTTGGTCATAACTGGGGAAGGTTGTGGTGCCCTGTTACCCTAGCATGAAGGGGGTGTGAGATCAAGTGAGTTCTGGTATGAGGACTGAAAGCCTGGACAGACTTTCCATCTGTTGAGGGGGAAATTTTGGATAGTAGGCTGTTTCAGTTTTGACCCCGGCTCATTTAGTTTTCCATGCCTTTCCAGATATTTTCAAAAAACAAAAAGACTTAGTAACTGCGGCTTGAGTAACCTAACATCAGGTCGGTAGGTCAGTAGTTATCCATGGTTTTCTTAAAAATTCTTCTGAATTTCTTTCGTAGTTCTCAGATTGTTCTTAGTCGAAGCCAGTAGTTATCTACGGTTTTCTTAAATTTCTCCTGAACTCTTGTTGTGGTTCTCAAATTGTTCTTAGCTCAAATTCACAAGATTGTTCTTAGCCGAAGTCAGGTCATGACCCTGGTATTTCGAATCATTTGTATCATTTTATATGGGACGCTGGGCCCGGTTCCCAGCACGTGTTGCTCCCCACGAATAGACTGGAACATTTGTCCCCAAAAAAAAAAAAAAAAAAAAAAAAAAAAAAAAAAAAAAAAAACAAACGATGAAAAGAGGGGAAAAGGAACGGGATACAAGAGTGAAGAAAAAGACGAACGCGAGACGGATAAAGAGGATAAACGGCTTGATGATATCCTTAGTCTGCTGGGGTCGTTGGTACGAAAAGCTGAAGTGACGGAAGAAGTTGAGGTGACGAAGGAGGACGAGAAGAACGAAATAAAGTGTGAAGAAAAGAACGAAGCTGGCACAGAAGAGAATGAGGTGGACGAAGAGAAGGAAAAAGAGGAAGAAGAGAGAGAGGATGGAGAGATGAGCGCCTCAGCCACAGAAATAGAAGAGGAAGAGAAATGCAAAGAGGGGGACATCATTGAGTACATGAAGGGCAGACTAGATCGATACATGGGGATGGCATACAAGGAAGTGAGAGCGCTGTGCATGAAGCGCGGAGTGAAATGTACACGGAAGGACGAAGGAGCCTGGGAGTTAGCGAAACAAGACACAGAGCAGTACACGAAGCTAATCAATAGAGAAGATGGAGAAGAGACCGAGCCAAGTGAACCATCAGAAGAAGAAGACTCCGAGCAAGAATTGGACGAGGATGACAAGGTGGCAGGAAATTAGATAGATGGTCGAAGCGAACCTAGATTAGAGCTTTGAAACGGTTGAGCTCGTACCTCAAACAATGGGAAGGGAGGGCGCAAGTACACGAGGAATTACGGAAGGAGGTGGATAAGATCCATAGGATCTTAAGAATCTGGGGTTGCCTTGCTGGATTTCTGAAATGGGTTGCTACTTACGTAAAGTATTGGTTCGCGCTAAGTCGGGGGATTTAGAGAAACTCATGAACGACGAGAGTTGTGTTTACGTTCTAATGTCGTCATTCTTTAAAGCCACATACGTGGGACAGACTGGGAGGAACATAGCTGAAAGATGGAAGGAGCATCACAGGGATGCTGAGAAGAAACCAGTATTTAAAGTCCACAAATGGCTCAATAAGTAGGGTCCTCAATCGTATGTGATCATCCCAATTTGGTTTGGACATAAGGATAGCTTGAAAGAAGTTGAGAGCATGGTGATCAAGAGGGAGAAACCTGGGCTGAACATGAAAAAACAACAAACCAGGAATAGACCTCGACGAACAAGAAAAAAAAAAAAAGAAACGTAGAATTGGCAATGATGATTGCAAGGAATGGGGAATACTAACTTTCTCATCCGTAAATTATGTTGACTTTTAACTGTTGGACTTTCCTCAATGTCAACTGACTGAACCAGCGCAGATCTACCTGCCGCTTTTGCTCATAAGGGAGGTAGATATCTCGGTCAGCCAAACGCTGAAGAAAGCATCAGAATGAAGGAACCCCCTGGCGGGAACTTGTCTTGGATACACTTCATAATGTTAGT